CTCTTTAGGCAGGAGCAAAATGTCATACCTATAACTTCTAAAATAGGTATAATAGTGAGGTAGTATCAGCTTAGGCAATAATTTTTTTTAGTTAACTAGTTAGTCTTATAGTGGTTATATAAGCTACTCTACTAACTAAATTAGGTGTTAATATAATATATATTAAGTATATAAATTTATTCTTTCTTAAATCTTTCTATCTTAACCAGCAGGTAATACACCTTCTAACTACTAGAATACCTAACTATCATCTCTAAATGTCTAGGCAACACTAAGGACAGTCCTATTTTAATTAATAATAATATTCTAATTGTCCCTAAAAACATAGCTCCCCATTTAACTAATTAAAGAATTAGTACTAGAAAGAATCCTATTAACCTTAAAGTTATTGATCAGGGAAGACCGGCCAGAGGTAAGTGACTATATACTAGACAGTCTTTAAGGATCTATATTAATAACCTTCTAGAGCCTACTATTATGTCTAACCTAGGTGAAGTGGGCGCGAGAGACCTGCTCAAAAGTAGAGGTACATTTATAGTATATACTAGAATATAGAATAGAAAGATACTAAACTTTTTCTCTAGAGAATCCTCTAATATGCAAAATCTACTATAAAACTTCTATAAGTATTATATTAAGCTGTGGTCATTTATTCTATCTTAGCTATATCTAGACATGGTTCTATACTAAGGTCATAAGTGAAATCAGAGAGAACCCTTAATTATTTGCTAACTTTTCCACCATGCATCTAAAGATTATGACCTACTCATACTGTAGAGAACTAGTAGTAGGAAAGAAAATACCCTAGAAACTTCTTTTTTATTTAGAAAGTCCCTCTTTAAATATTGCTCTAGATACTTATAATAGTCTTAAGATTTTTATAAGTTTAAAAATAAGATACCACTTAATCTTTTAGCCCGGTTATTATAGTAGGCTGAGCTTAGATTAAGGTACTTTAGTGTAGTGATTGTCATATTGCTAGCTATAAGTAGAGAGTATAGAATAGCTATATAAAGTCACATGTCTAATTAATTCTACTTTGCTGGTCTATATAATATGGCTAAACTAAATAGGCTAATATTAATGACTAGGTCTAGAGATGCTTATTAGGGGAGACTATTTCTAAAGATCTTAATAGCAGCCCTAGCCTATAAACTAAGAATACTAGTAGTGCAGCATCCTACTTTGGGCTTAATATAATGAAAAAGTATAGAGATTAGCAGCATTAACCACTCCTTATATATTGCCTACCTTATATTAATATATATAGGCTAATAGTATATTTAAGCCGTAAGTAAGAAGACGGGCGAAATAATAGCCAAAAGACAAAGGGTAAGAGGACAGTGGAAAGAAGATGATGCATACTAGGTAGAAAGATGACAGGCAATTTAATATTTATAATATTAATACCTAGCTATTAAGCTAGGATAGGCTTATAAAACATCTAGGTTTTTATTAGACTACATTGGTAGAGCACCTCTTTAAATGCGGCTCTTCACCTATAAGCAGGTATTTAGCAGCTCTAAGGTTAAATTGTCCTCTAGGATATACTGTAGTCCTTAGTCTCCTAGTTTACTTGAATTTTGTGCATGCCTCCTTAGCCCCAGATTTTCTATTTAATTATATACTATAATTAAATGACTATATATAACAGGCGTTGACTATCTTATTTCTTTCTATAATTATAAGAAAGTGGCCTAACAGGAGACACTACTATATCATCTTAAGTTCTTCTATTATCATCACTCTCCTTAAGAATGTCTTTCTTGAGATATATGTTCAACATTTTAGTGAATAAGCTTAATCTGAATTCTACTAAGTCTAAGGAAAATATGGTATTATTTAATGAGGTCCAGGGGAATATTATTTAGAAGGCCATATTTAGGAATAATAAATAGATTAATAAAGCCCTGGAATTAGAAGCTAGTCCTATGTTTATTGGCCTTAAGCTAGAGGCCATTAAAAATCTAGGCAACAAAGGCTAATAGCCTCTCTATATTCTATTAGTAATAAATAACTGGAATAGTGACCTTTAATATTTTAGTAACCTCCTATTCCAGTCCTTAAGAGTAGGCTACTAGTATAGTAAAAAGAAGTTTATAATCACCCTTCTAGAGACTAGTTATAGATCTATAAGTAATAAGATAGTAAAGATTCTAGAGATCATTCTTTATATAAGGGATATAATACGTCTTAATGAGGTCATTAAGCTTTCTAGCTATACTATATAACATCTTTTTGAAAGAGAGTTGCTATGTATACAGTACTGTTTTGCTTATAAGAAGCAGGTTTTTAACCTATAAGATCTAAATATATTTAGTATAGGGGGGAGGATTTTAGAACCAGGTGCATTGAACCTAATCTATATCTTCTATTTAATATATAATAGGAAGAAAATAGGAATAATTCTACAAGCGTCTCAGTGCCCTGCTGTCACTCCTTTGTTTAGCCATAAGGGGAGAGGTGATATTATTAGCTAAAAGTATAAAACTCACTCATCCTAGTAAACACATCATAAAGAAATGTTCTTGCTGAATACTAGGATATACTATTATAATTATTAAAGTAGAAGCCTTATTTAAGTAGGAATCCTAGACTTCTATAAATACTAGCATCAGATGTAATCACTAAAGCTGAGGGGTGATAGACCCAGTCTATTGCTTACATCTAAAAAGTTTCACCTAATGGCATAAGGCCTATATAGTTATAGGCCTTACTTATCCATGGTAGGAGAGACCACTGGTGTTCCTATAAGGAGGGGCCCTTTAGAGCGTCATTTCCCTTAGTAGCTAGTTCTCTAGAATATTATTTTTTTTGGCACTTTAATTCTTTTTGCTATTTAAAATGTCATTAGGCCCTCTAAGCATTAGATTTACTAAAGCTTAGCTTATATTCTATCTATCCATAGATATTACTATTCACATGACGGTAAGCTAATAAGCTAGATTATATAGAGAGAGAGCATTATTATTATTACATGACTAAAGAAACTTTATTTTTAGGATCTAAAATATCTAATCAAGAAAAATTACATCTTTATAACCTCTTTAATCACCTTATGAGGAGTGGGCAGAATGCCTAGTAGGGTAGGTCAGTATAATAGCTATACTATAAGAATATATACTAACTACTCTAGTATATGGGAAGAAGGAACGAATTACTTAATATTCTAGTATCTATCTAGCTTAAGGCTATATAGAAGCTCTTTGATAGGCTCCCCAGCTCTGCTGTATATAATATCTGCTAGGGTGAAAGGGTGAAGGGTAAAGGGGTAAGGGTGAAGGGGTGAAGGGGCCGCAGGATTAAACAGAGGATAGATAGAATAAAAGAGGAAGAGTAAAGATAAGGGTAAGTATTCTTCTATTAGGGTGATGAAAAATACCGTCTTATTATACTTTAGTTATTAATAGTAACTAAGATATATAGTAATGTAAAGATAGTTTATTTTAGTACTGTAAGCTTTATTTAGGTCATTGAAATAGTTAGAAGTGACTAGATATTTTATAATATCACTATTAAAGCCTAATTATTAAGACTACTCTAGGACTGCTCTAGGATTGCCCAGAACACGCACTTTTAAGCTTAGCCCATGCTCCTGGCTGCTCTAAGAGCAAAGGGCAGTAGCAGATTAAACTTAAGATAGAAAGGGAAAGTTAAAGAAAAGCTGTTCACTAGTTAATAATGGGTCATGAGACATCAGCATAGATAAAGAGTACTAGTTACTAATATAGCCCAGAAATTATCATCTATATAGCATAGGCGATCTATAGTATTTATTGACTTCCCATGTTGTTCTAGTGCTATAGACCTATCTTTACTAGCCTTTACTTAAACCATACGCAGTCTATTAGATTTATATCCTTTAGGCCCATGTTATAATAGTTTAGGAGAGCGTGGTTGCTTACGCATTGGCCGAAGGTCTAATATATATTAATAGAAGTTAATGATAAGGGCTTATTAAAGTTTAGTATTCTATAAGATATTCTCTAGGTGTAGATCCTAATAAAAGACACCTAAAGAACATATTTTCTATATTAAGTAAGAAACCGCCTACCTGATGTTCTAGTTAAGATAAATATGGCCCATGCTCTCGCCACCCTAATCTATAAGGAGTATATAACAGATTTCTCTTGCGCCATAGAGGAAGTAGATCTAGGCCAAACTAATAGTACTAAGAAAGACTAGAACTGCTAAGCCTTAGGCGCGCTAAAGGATATAGTAAACCTTAATCTTATAAGATACCTTCTTCTAGAGTCCTAAAGTCGTTCCTTTCCTGACCATAGTATATCTGAATGTGGCATAAGTAATCTTAAATAGCGCACTATAGGACCTATAAGGGCCTATAGGAGTACAGTCATGATCTAAATCTTAATTAAGCTATATAATAAGCTTCTCTACTAGATTATATGCACTAATCAGGTGGCGGTCAACATATCTGTCATATATATATAACTCTATATTTAGACAGTCAGGGTTAAGCGTGCTGCCTTTTTATAGCCTAAGGAGGCACTTCTATATATAAAATTAAGTAATATAAGGATAAGATTATCTGCTTTAGTCTCCTTAAAGATCTAGTTAGGGTGCCCTCTATTAGATTAATAAGGATAATAAAACTTAGCTAAATCCTTACTTCTGTCTCTATCTGGCAGATGCGGCAGGGTCTACTTTAGATCTAGAGAATCCTCTTGGCGCTGCTAATTAGATGATGGTGCACAGCTAGAGACCACTTATATAATCACCTAATAGCCTTTAGTGGCGAGAGATCCTATTAGAGATAATAAAGGGAGGTACTTAAAGGTGGTCTGCTCAGGACTAGCATACTTAGAGCTAATATAGGCTATATTTAGGCTCTATAATAATCCTGCCGCGAAGATCTGGGAGCGCTTATTATTAAAACTTATATACTAAATAAGTAGCTATGCTCGCGCATTATTCTGCTAGGCTTAATCATAGTAAGAGGAATAAAAACTTATTAGATAAAGATAAAGAGTTCTCTTAACTTAAGTCCTAGGAGCTTTATGCCTTTTAATATTCGCCCTGCTATATATACCAGGGTCACCCAGGTCATAATAGAGAGTACCTAGGTTATTATAGGGCACCCAGAGCAGCACATCCATAAGGCCGTTTATTAAATATAAATACTTAAGGCCTTCTTAGATCATCATATGGAATTTTTAGATAATTACTAATCTAACTAGCCGTGTAGCATAATACATTAATCTCTCTAGCTCTTCTATTAGAATAGTATCTAGTTTTATAACTTCATATTAGAAGTCTATTAGTCAGAGCCCCTTAGTCTTACTTTCACCCTTAGTCTCTTTCTAACCCGCAGCCTCACTCTTACCCATGGTCTCTTTCTAGCCTATAGTCTTAACTAGACTCTAGTGAATACTAAAGAAAGTAATCCTAATATTAAATAGACTACTGCTTGCCATAAAGCCTAAATTAGGTCTATAGCTTTTTTAAAATAGTCATAACTATTATATTTAAGTATACCTAAATTCTATCTTGGTGATCTATATTAGTATTTTTTTAATACTTTATATAAAAGTGGGCTTAGCGAGCACTGTATAACCTTATTACTTAATGACTAGATCTAGTTACTTATATTACTAGGTGTACTAGTAGATGCAGGTTAAAACTGCAAACCCTTAAGCCTGTTTTAGGAACATTCTCAACTATGTAAGTCTTTTATTTTATGGTCTATTCTTCACCTCCATGAATATTATAGATATATGGTAAGGTTATAGAAGCTTAAAGAAGATGAGTCTTATAAGATAAGAACATATTAAATAGACCACATCTCCAGATCAAAAAGTTAGAAACTAGAGCGCCATCACAGAAAATATTAAAAGGACCTAAAGATGATTGTTCTTAAGCTAAGAAAAAATCATTCCCTTAATTTAATAGAAAACCTATAAGCTTTTTAATTAATCTATATTAATGTCTAATCCTATATTTTCTTTAGTATAGTAATTCTATTAAGTGCTAAGGTGATAAATCCCTTCTGCATGCCTGCGAAGATGCATCTTATATAGTAGATCTATACTATATATATAACACCTTCAGTCCTGCAAATGGGTCTCTCAAAAGTATTATAGAGTTAATTTATACTCACTATATTTCTGCGTTTAGTAATAAATGGGAAGTTTAGGGTCGCCATAACATTAAAAACATCACTAAGGCTTCTTAGCCTTTTTAATATAGTTTTTAGCTTTCATAAGAAGGATATCCTGCTATAAAGACTCTAAAGAGTTATAAGTCTTCTTAGCTGGCTCTAGTAATATATTATTCTCTTCTTTATTAAACTCATCACTTAGTGTAGCCCATTTGCGTCGCCCACACAATAGTCCACCTTTAAGGAAAGAACAATATCGCGAGATTATAGCCATAGCAGCATTCCTTCTTTGCCACTCCGCCTCCAGGGATTAAGAGATAGGCTATATAAATAATTTCTTAAGAAGATTTATCTACTCTAGTAGCATCTAGTCTTCTACTTAGAGCACTTTCTTCACCTCTTTATTATTAACAGTAGCCCCTGATAGCTGACACTTAATATCTATTATAGCCTATTTTTAGTTAAACTTATAGTGGACCTGTTATCTTAGAGCTCTTTCTAACCAGCTAAAAAGATTAGAGGTTTCACATGTTAATTTCTCTAATCGCGATTATATTACTACACTAAGATCATATTTGCACTCTTCAGCTTGCTCTCTCATTTACTAAGTGGCCTTAATATATTCTAGATATTCATAAAGGGATGCTTATTGCTCTAAAGTAAGATGTTAAGGGCATCTCTTATTAATTTATCTACTTATCCAGGTGATCGCGCGCATTAGAGACTTATTAGATTTATAGCTATTCATCACGCTCTACATGTCAGTGTCAATGTGGCGTGGAAGATAATAATTTAAGAAAGTATAAGTATTAGTATATTTTATAATTAGATTTTGCTGTGCTTCACTAACTGTGCTATTTTTATTTAATATCTTTCCCCCTCTATAGCAAAAATGATGGGCGAACATTAACTAAAGGAAGCTATGAATCTCCCCTAGATTTCTTAGATGTCTAGATATAGTGCTCTCAGTTATTAGTTAGTTCCACCGAAGAACCGCACGTCCATTGACTATATCTATCTTATAGAAGATATAATAGTTTTCAACTTCATATTTTAAGGGTAGTTTCATCTATTATCGACCGCCTTCAATGAACAGCTTTTGAAGGCGCTCTATAGAGAAAAGCATAGGGACTTTAAAGGCTTAAAGCTAAAAAAGTATACTAAAGATAAATATATAAGGGCTAAAGACAAGCGACGGATCATTAATAATTTCAGGAAAAGGAAAATTATTACTAAGAATAAGTATTAATATTAGGATCTTTATTGCATGGGTTCAATGCATAATACATATACTTATAAAGTTCTAAGGAACTTCTTCATATACTCTAATTTAATCTCTGCTAAAAGTATAGGAGGGCCTCCATCTGGATTATACTATATAGAGAAATATAGATGTTTAAATTATAGCGAAAGAAGAGCATATAGGTGGTTCACAGTGAAAATACTAAGTATATTAAAGAGACAGAGCTAGATTCACTTATATCCAAAATAAAATCACCTTTCCTAAGTTTAGAGGATCGTCTTATTTAATTTAGTTAAGTCTTAGATGTACACTAGCTCCTTGCCTCATTCTTGTTAATTGAGGTTGAATTTATTAATAAGTTTCTAGATACCCTAGGCCCAGTCAGCTCCAAGTGTTGGCTTATAGTAAATAACTTACTACATTAATCTCTTCACTATCTTTAGTAGTGATCCTAGTCTATATAATTCTCTAATAGTAACCCTAAAATCCTTTCTAGTCAGCTTTTAGGGCGCTAGCTTTCAACATTCCCTTTAGATATTAGCCGCCTTCACTATATTTCAACTTTATATAGTAGTTGAAAAATTAATATATATCATTAGGGGTAACCTCGCGCAATGCCTCCTCTAGAACATCTTATTTTAAAAGTACACTAGGCTGAGCAGCCTTCACTCAGCAGTACCTACACCTTACATTAGTAACTATCTCTAGATTATATAGGTCTAAATTAATACTCACTTATGCCAGTGCTTTTCTATTTATCAACCCTAAACCTTAGTTTAGTTAGAGCGCCCATAATTAAGCAGTATATCTATAAGGTCCTTATCTATATTATTATTAAGGTTATTATTAAAATTAGGTAAAGCACCAGTGTCTACTGGGCGGCGCATGGGTTATTTTAGATAAGTTGACGACCCGCTATAGTCATTAGGAGGATAGGTGGGTTCTAGAGTTATTAGTTTAGTTAAATTTAAGGCTTCCCTAAAGTTAGAGTTATTAGAGGCATTAAAGTTAGGCTAAAAAGATACTCTAGAAGAGTCACTATTAGTTGCAGAGGATAGATCTGTAATATTACTTATATTACCTCTTAGAAAATAAAAATGTGTATAAAGGCGCTCTAGACAGGTAGACAGCTAAATAGAAAGAATAAGTAGCTATAAGATATAGGTTAAAGACAAGACCGGCAAACAATAAGTACCAGAGGAGAGAAAGACTAGGTAAAAGAGTAAGGAAGGACTATTAGCAGCTTTATAGCTAAGAAACCCTAATTACCCCAGCAACTAATAAGCCTAGGATAGAGGGTGCCATTTTTGGCGACCTCACTATACAAAGGGTTATAGTACCGCTCAAAGAGCCGGTCTAGAGGTGAGTAGAAGTTAATGGAAAATATGGGCAGGGCATAGACGCAGGGGGAAGGGGAGCCACACGCCCAGGCACCAACATGGCTGAATAAGAACATGATGGTGCACGTTATAAGAGGGTAGTTGAGCGGCGCGTGGCTCTGGGGCGAAAGTGCGTGTGTGGAAGGATGGTGCGGAGGAGGCCAATTCCGGCCCCCTTTGACGGCAGAACCGTCCGCCTCAGCACAAATGGTTTTTGTTAAGGGGGTAGATTAAGTACTTATTAAGTACTTTACTTAAAGTTAAGATATATACTATCTTCTTAAATAGATAATAGGACCTTAAGTACTTTATCTTATTCTTTTATTAAACCTACTATAGACTTCTTATATCCTTAGACCTTACTACTACCCAGTTGTACTAACATCTCACCTGCCCACCCCTAAGCAGTGCGAGGTCACTGCTTACAAACCCATGCCCGACCTAGCTGCGGGTTGGGTCGGGTGGGTCGGGTTCTCCGGGTCGGTTTTAGCCAGTCCACCCAAAGGTTTGCTGATTAACTAGAACCTATACCTGTCCAGGCTGCAGGTTGGGTCGGGTTGGATCGGGTTCTCCGGGTCGGGTTTTGCCACTCTACCTAGGTGATTCCTTGGGGATTCATCTTTGCCACTTTCTACCCGTATTCTAGGTGGTTCTTATATTGATTTCTAGGGGACTCCCTAGGCGACTCCTTTGTTGATTCCAGCGTTAATTCCAAGGGGATTCCTGGGTTTGTTCCATGTTGATTTTAGTTTCTTACCTGATTTCTTGCTCGTTACTTTATCATTCCTAGGGCTATTTATTTTAATTCCTCAACTAATTCCTTGTTATCTATAAGCAGAGGGCTGTAGGTCTAGAGTGGCTACTATCAACCTATTGTACTTTATACAGATATAAGCTCTTATAGGGTGGAGTTGTGAGCTGAGAGCTGTAGGTCTAAAGTGGCTGCTAGTAGGTTAAGCTATCTAATCAAGCACCTGATTAAGCATCTAATTTAAACATCTAATTGAGCATCTATAGCAAAGGATAGGCCACTTGTGTTGCTCTGCAATGACTTACCCTGCAAAGCCTAAGCAAGCCTGGGGGTCTGGGGGGCGTGCCCCCTGGTATAATTCTCAGGGCTGTCCATCTAGCCGCGCCTGAAATATAAGGTCTATAGTAGATATCTAAGAGAATAGGAATAAATTACTCAAGAGTGTAATGATAAGTCTTAATTATTGATTAAATATTAAGGTACTCAAGTGGGGTAAAGTTGATAGGTCACCTTGGCTCATCCAGGCCTTTCTAACCAGGCCTAGTTCCTGGCTTGGTAAGATGCTTGGTAAGCGGCCAAGAGACGGTATTCAGAGGTACGCCAGTCTTACGTCCGAGCTGGCCTTACAACTGTGACTCAGGGATATGTCAGCATTGTCGTTTGTAGATCTCGGGGACTGGACCAGATGTTGACGGCGCGGAGATAGGTGGGATTGTTGCCGTGGCTCGGGGATATGTCAGCATTATCGTTGCCGTGGCTCGGGGATACGTGAGCATTGTCGGCTTTCTGACAGATACCATGTTGTAGGTTGTAGTTCTCGGGAACTGGACCGGCGTTGGCGGCGCGGAGATAGGTCGGATTGTTGCCGTGACTCGGGGATATGTCAGATCTCGGCAACTGGACGTGATGTTGACGGCGCGGAGATACGTCGGATTGTTGCCGTAGCTTAGGGGTATATCCGCATTGTCAGGCTTGTAAAAGGATCCTACATGATAAAAAAAAGTCAATTAGATTAAGTATTCTTTATCCACCAGTAGGAGTAGCTCCCTATGACAAACTTAAAATATCTGAATACGAGGATGAACAATATAAATATAAGTAAGAATCAAGATACCAATACTGGACTATAGTCACTACCACCACCACAACCACCATTATCATCATCATTATTTTTGTTGTTTCTATTATTACTATACAATAAAGATGCGCGCCATCATCGCCGTCACCTCTGCGAGTGCCCCCCTCTTCGATGGTCGCGAAACCACCGGCCTGTTTATCTCAGAGGCGCTGCACCCATACAAGGTGCTGACGGCTGCCGGGTTCGATGTAGACCTCGCTTCCACGACGGGGAAATACACCCCTGACTGGCTGTCCCAGCAGCCCGACTTCTTGAACGGCGAAGACCTCGCCATCTGGAACGACCAGAACAGCTCCTTCCGTCAGAAACTGGATCATATGCGCCCCGCCGCTGAGCTGGAGGGAACCGCCTATGATATCTTCTACGCCTCCGCCGGCCACGCCGCCCTGATCGATTACCCAACCGCCACAGCCCTGCAGCGCATCGCCGAGCAGGTCTGGGCAACTGGCGGCGTGGTTGCGTCAGTCTGTCATGGCCCGGCAATCTTTGCCAACGTCCGTGATCGCAACACAAACCAACCCCTCATCCAGGGCAAGACCATCACGGGCTTCACCTCCGAGGCGGAGGAGACCATGGGAATTGCGCAGGAGCTGAAAGGGTGGAAATCAGAACTAGTGGAAGATCTGGCCGCCAGGCTGGGAGCCAAATGTAAGTCTTTCTCGTTCCTTCCTCGCGCCTCTATTTGATTTACAAGCTAATGGTATTAGATTCTCGGAGTGCTGGAATCTGGGATGACTTCCATGTCGTTGATGGGCGGCTGGTGACGGGCCAGAATCCAGCCAGCGCAAAGTCCACGGCAGAAGCAGCAGTGAGAGTCTACAACAACAGTGCATAAAATGACCATTTCTATGATCTTGTTGCTTATCACAAATTATAGTAAATATTCATTTACTCTATACTAATACTACATTTCACTAAAACATAACTACACTACCATAAGTAAGTCTTATGGTTATATAAGCCTGTAACCCTACAAGGCCAGCACCAAGATGTAGTATAACACTCTAAGCCTTCCCCATGATGTAACCCATATATGACCCGCAGAGGGCCGAGCCGCGCACCATCCTAAACAATTAAACCATCAGCAATTGAAAGCTATTTATATTATATGTTAATAAAGAATGAATTATCCCAGTGGTCAGGGTGGTAATTCCTCTTATAACTAGTCATATTATTATTGAAACTTATTAGTTATATATGAGTATTATGATTATCTAGAAAGTATATTTAAGCTATAGCTTAAGTAATATCCTTCATGCAATAAGCTTATATAACTAATTCTATTATTTCTAGACTACTTGGCCTAGCTCTAGAATAAGCTAATACTTTAATTCTTAGCTCTTCTCAATATTATTAACTGAGGGTTTAGGGTTTAGGGTTAGGGTTTTATAATAATTAATATTGTTATATTCTTCTATAATTCAAGACTTTTAACCAATACCATAGACTTAGGCTATCTACTAAAATCGAAAGAATAAAGACAAAGAAGAAGTAGTAAAGATATCAAGTTCCTGATTTGCTTATTATAACAAAACTACAGAGCTTAAAATCAAAGTATTAGCTTATTCTACCCCCAGCCGGCCTTTGACTCCTTGTTTTATGTCATTTATAGTCAATCTTTTCATCTTTTGATATAGATATATATATTTCATTTATCTCTTCTTTCCATTCACTATTATATACTATCATCAGCCCACTTTACTCCCTCTTCGTCGCGGACCAGAGCTGCGTAACTGGCCATCTCATCAGCGACTATTCCCACTGATAAGAGAATATTAGGCACTCACCGTAAGTGAACTTCAGCAACGTCTCCGGCTGCTCGGCATACAGACTGTCGATTTCCTTTCTTGACGTATGGTCCACATTGAATCCAAGCAGATCTGCCAGCTGGAGCACTTCCTCCACGGAGAGCTGGAGAGCGGTATGGGTACCCCATTTCAGTGCTGTATATAAAGCATCAATGTCAGTCTTCAAGAGAAGGAGGAGAGTAACGTACGCCCAAGATTGATCCACACCCCGCCAGGCTTCAGCAGCCGATGTATGTTGCTCAGGAAGTCAATCACGTTCTCGGACATGTCGATGAAGAACAGGGTGACGACGGCGTCAAACTCACCGTCCCGAGGGAACATCTTCAAGAAATCGCCCTCGACGAGCTTGACTGCCTTGTTTGGCCAGTGATCCGGCACCGTGAGGGTGGAGTAGCGCGAGGAGGGGTTGGCCTGATACGTCCATTTGGTCACAAAGGGCTGTAGGATGTGCTCGTGCAGCGAGCTCGTGTGGTTGATTAATAGATGGTAGGCCAGGATGGAGCCGTAATCCACCTCGTTGGCCGTGACTTCGTACCCTGCGCTGACATCAGACCGCGCCTTCACCTCAACAAAGTAAGATGGACGCACCGAGATCAGCGATATCGCTGGCCAGCCTGCCCATACCACTTCCCGGGACAAGCACCTTAACGCCTCTCCCGTCCGCACCAAAATGCTGCTCAAGCATATTTAGAATAGGCGGAAACACGGCCTGCCTCTCCTTTGTGCCCTGCGTGCTCCAGTCTCGCGAAATATGTCCAAACGCTAGGTCCACAACGGCAAAATCGGCATCATCACTGTCCTCCAGCACTTGCGAGCCCGTGTGGTAATCCTCTCTTGCAATCTGCGCGATCTGTTCCGAGAACCGGGTGTTTACTTCAATACCCTTCCTGGCTTTCTCAAAGTGTGCAGTATAGCCGAGCTTGTTGCCTATTGCCTTCTGTGCAGGCGTCTGCTTGGAGTACCGCGCATACTTCCGCTGGAGCACTTGTTCGGCGAGGAACGGATACTGCTCAAAGGAGCTGATGCAGTGCGCCAGTCCATTAGGAAGGGAGGGGTTTCTATTCCGTCTCCCCGCTTTGGGTGGGCGAAAAGCTTCAAAGGCTTTCTTGGAGATTGGTGCGGGAGGAGCAGCAGGCGGGAAGGTGAGTGCCACATGAAGGGCTTCAGCGCGTTCGGAAAGGGAGGAAAGAAGAAGTGCGATGTCAGACAACGAGGCGGAACCACGGATGGCGAGATAGAAGGGCGAGACGATGCAGAGGAGGAGAGCGAGGAAGCGGGAGAGGTAGATTGAGGTGCGCATTATGATGCTTGTGGCTTCAGGATGGATGTGGAGGGTAGATTCTTATTGTTGATAGCACAAGGGGAGCATTGAGGAACAGCACAGTGAGTAGATAGTCCTTTGGAATATATAAAACTAGGGCAATTTAGGGACCAATCTGTGGTGCTAGAGGGGTGTGGTTTTAAAGAATTGAGGCGTGAGACCCTTAGGGTTTAGGGTTTGACCAGGCGCCCTCTTCCATCATGCACAGTAAGCTGACTATTTCTATTTAAGCTTCCATCTGATCTTGTCCTCCACGCCTGCTCTTTGTTTCCCCTCTGGTTGAATAATAGCCATGGGCCGTTCAATTGTGTTCCTCTGCATACTCGCCGTCCTCACCATCCTCCCCGGCGCCCACTTCCCATATGCGCAGGAATGGAACGAGGCACAACCACAAGCCTGCGGCAAGCTGCTGGCACGCAAAGAATGGCGGACACTGACGCATAGAGAGAAGACCCAGTGGGTGGGAGCTGTTAAGGTGCGCCCTCCTTCCTCCACGGAGGTAACGCGTATGTTGCTGATGCCGAGTGGTGCCTGGCAAGCATACGACACGAACGGCTATCCTTGACAAAGAACCAGACGGTGCTCGAGGGGAAGAGGAGCCTGTACGACGACTTCTCCTACGCGCACGCATCAGTGGAGCACAGCGCCCATAGGAATGCCTACTTTTTGCCCTGGCGTGTGTTCTATCTTGTCTCCTCCTCCCCTCCTCAAGCACATACTTACATGAACGCAGACCGCTGGTTTACCTACCTATTCGACACCTCCCTCCGTCGCACTTGCGGGTACAGCGGGCCAACGCCGTACTGGGACTGGTCGCGCGATCATGCAGACCTGTTCGGCTCGCCAGTGTTTGAGGACTCGCCGGAGTATGGGCTGGGGGGGACGGGGGACTGTGATTCCTCCCCTGGGGCAGACTGCACCGTCACCACCGGCGCCTTTGCCCCGTCCACGGGCAGCTTCGGGCTTGCCTGGCCCATCCCACACCCGCTGCGGAGGAACCTGACGCTCATCACTGGCTGGTACCCCCATGAGCTGCCTCAAAACCGCACCCTTGGCCCGGACTTTGTGCGCAACACGATCGAGCAAACCACAGGCGACTTCTTCAGGTTCCAGCACGCAATGGCGCTGTTGCACAACCACGTACACAACTTCATAGGGGGCGACTTGGCGGGAGACTGCCCGAGGGCTCTGCCGGAGGAGGATTGCCAGGGCATGGCAACCAGCTTCACGCCTAATGACCCGCTCTTTTGGCTGCATCATGCCCAACTTGACCGTTTGTGGAGTGAGGTGCGCACCCCATTCCACTTTCCTGCTCTATATGTCTGCTGTAGTACAACATGACTGATATGAGTTGTACAGTGGCAGCACCATCACCCTTCCAACTTCGCCGCCTTTTCCGGCATGCCCCTCACCCCGCACAACATGACCAATGCACACTACGACCTTGAGGCGCACGAAGATCATCAGATGCCCTTCGATGTTCAGAGTGTACCCGTGACGCCGAGAATGGTGTTGGATACAGAGGGTTGGCCGTTGTGTTATCAGTATACGGATGAGGAGTGACAATCACATTAGGGTTGCCTTTACTCGAGTTTACCCCCTTGCCTGGCTTCTCATCTAATTTATGTGTATAGAAATAATGATTATATACAGTACTACACTAAATGTTTCTGTGGTTGCAAAAGTCCTGATTTCAACCAATTCAACAACTTATAGTATAGAACCTATATTATTTTTTAGTTATCATATTTGAATAATATTCTCCATCTTAATTATATAATTCAAGTATGTCTCAAACTTTTTCAAGATGAATACCTATATATTTATATATATAGAGATCTGAACTATGAATGGCTCATCATTCTTGGTAAAAAGTACTAAGTAAGGTGCTCTGCTAAACCGTTTCTGCGCACATTACTCATAAACCAAAGAATAGTTGTCCAGTTCCATGCGACGCATAATCCTTACATTCTATACCCACTGTTAACTAGCCTCCTTGATCCTCTCATACATGTCTGGTGTCCACTCCTTATGCTGGCTCTCCAACCATTCATACACCTGTGTCCAGTCCCGGCAGGTATGCACAGTTCCTCCGCCCGCAGCGACTTTGTCCCCATTGGCCAATTCCATGCTCGTGCCGCCGGGCTCCAAGGTTGTGTCGGCAGCGCAGAGAATCCCCTGCCGGAGGTAATGGAAGCAGTGGGCCGTATGGTCCGACCCGTCATCCCCGTTGACAAGCACCGCGCGTATGTGGTTAAGGCAGTGCATCTGATGCCACATCGACACATCAAATGCAAAGTGCTCCTCCCCCAGAAAAACGAACCCCTTGCCGGGAGGGCGGATTGCGTTCCATTCAGCCGTCGCCGTCACCCCTTCCATCCCGTAGTGGGAGGGGTCGTCATGGAACACGGCTTGGATGGTGCGCACCTTCAAGGGGAGCTCGCGAGGTCGGTCGCCGGCGAGGTAGGCTACTGTGCGTTAGTGATGAGTGCGAGGAGAAGTTGGGATATGGCGCACTGTATCCACGCGTTCCGCGCGTCAAGATGCGGAGGTAGACGAGGAGGACGCCTAAATTCAGGACGAGGCATACGCTCAGCGCTATGAGCAGGCCGAGGGAGAGGCCGCGTGAATGGGATGCTAGGGACCTAAGGAACATCTTGGTGTGCTGGAAGGGTGGTGTGTTGAGAATAGTAGAGGGAGATCAGGAGGAGCAGGCTGATAGTGTCTAGCACATCTATAGCTGTATCTGCTTCACTTGAGTGGGCAAGTCGCGATGGTCCCGAAGAGCAGGAAAGAATGAATTGCCGAGATACCTCCTCCACTGGAGCCTTGATTTGCAAGATTCCCTTAATGATATGAAGAGTACCAGTGGATAGAGGAGCACAATACTAGCCTAACAAAAATACCTCGATAGACACTCGGACCATCTTCTGGGCTATTAAGCAGCTCTTACAGTTAGGACTAAAGGGTTAGGTAGTGAGAAGAATTGAGGGTAATACTGACCTCACCTTTAAGTAGTAATGATCAACTAGACTTAGAGTCAACACTTTGAGTTGGCACTCTAACCCACTTCCAAATCAAGCAAGAGCCAACCCTGACCTCCCTAGTTAAAATGGTGACTATATTGGTACTACCAAGGGGACAGCAGACATTGATTGTCTTATAGATATCTCATCTACAAGCAATTGTTCTCCTTCAGATCGCGAAACGCATAAATTCTCAAGGGTTCGGCGAGTACTGATATCTCATTAACGAGTCACCTCTTCTCCTTACCCAACGAAAGAATCAACCCACTGACAAACTCCAACAATGCAACTCACCATCATCCTGCTCAGCCTGGCCAGCCTCGGCCTGAACATCCTCCCTGTTCAGTCCGCAGCGGTTCCCGCCGTTGATTTGGCTCGCCGCGCCGAGGACTCGATTGATACTGCACTCGAGAAGCGGCACTCCTATGGAGTAGATGGCGATGAAGTTCCTAATGTGAAACGCCACTCCTATGGTGTGGATGGAGATGAGGTTCCTTATGTGAAGCGACACTCCTATGGAGTGGATGGAGATGAGGTTCCTAATGTGAAGCGGCACTCCTACGGCGTGGA